CGCTTCCAACACTTGCTTTCATTTTCGAAATTGTTTCAAAGCTTTAAGTCCAAAGTGGACAAAATTGTTTTCAAAAAAGTAAAAATGTCTCAAAATTATTTTCAAAATTTGAGGACGTAATTTCCCCTTTTCCGTATAATAAAGTCCAAAGTTACATTTAATTTGGAACCTAAATTACAATTCCTACTAGAAGTGCTTACAGAGGAAGTTCATAAACATCTAGTTACAAATAGCAAAAGATGACATCTGTGGTACCGAATATACATACTAAGTGCTTGTTTGGCATCATTTAAAAAAAATAAAAAGTCAAAAAGTCACTAATAAAATAAAAAAAAATTATACTATTCACAATGTTTAGGCGGGAAAATGGGGCTAAGTACTCAGAGGGCAAAAAGACATTTTTGCCCTTCATTGACATGCACAGCTCACTCATGATTGTTTAAGAAAAAAAAAAAAGTCAAACAATGCACCAGTGTAGCTCAATACACTATGAGAGGGGAAGTGACAAGTGCTCAGTGCACTGTCATAAGGGTAGGAAGGTAATTTTGATATTTCATACAATATTTTAATACACATTTTTTCGTAAAAAGTCAAAAGTTATTCTAAACAATCATATTTTTTCTCTACTTTTTTAGCTAAAAAGTCAAAAAGTGCACGTTCATCCCAAACAACTTCTAAATCAGGCACAAACATGGCAGCCAACCATTCCTCACATTTTGATAAGATTTGCACCCACCTTATGATCTTTTAGAGCAGAAGCCCCATCCCAGAGCTCCCTTAGATGCTTTTCAATCTCTTCGTGACATTCTTCTTATTCATCAGTAATGGATTTTGATTTGCCATACACAGAAAAAAAAACACGCAACATTTTCTTCAAATAATCCAACGCAAACTGAACCTTAAAGCCTGCATTTTGAGCATATAAAAACCAATCCCTCCAGTTAAATACTTCAAGTTGATCCAAGTCTTTGAATCCAGTATTGCACATCCAAGTCTTCACCTTCAGACTCATCGTTGTTGAGTTTGCACTGAAATCTCCATATTTGGTCAATGTACGGGGAGTAAATATTCTTTACTTCCATACTCTTTGCAACCAAGCTGTGTTGCTCTGAAACAGCATCGTGTAGCCTGAAAACACGACGACGGTGAGCTACCTGGTGGGTGTATTGCTGGAAACCCTACCGATATTCAAGTTAGCACCCTCAGAGATAAAACAAAGGAGTAAGGATAGCACAGTGTAAAAAATTGCAGACCTTTTTCATGGAGGTGTTACAGGACTTATATACACTACAAGAAAAAGCATTTTTGGCGACTAACTTCCGCCGAAAGTCGAGTTTTTACTTTCAGCGACTAATTTTTTTAGTCGCCCCTTTTGTTGCGTATATATGGTCGCCGGAGGTATTGGCGACTAAAATATTTTTAGTCGGCAAAAAATAGCTCTTTAGCGACCAACTTTTTAGTCGCCAATAGTGATTTACACTTTTTAAAATCACACATTTGGCAACTAATCTTTTAGTCGCCAATAGTCCATGAATCGCCGACTAAACGATTTAGTCGCCCAAAATAAAAACTTTTGGCGACTAAAATTTTCGTCGCCAAAGGTCCTTCCGTGAAAAAAAAAAAAAAAACCAATTTCTTTGCTTTTTCTGAGATTCGAACCGCCAACCTCTCCCACTTTCGAACCGCCAACACCTTTAGCAACACACTCCCTCCACTATGCCACTTCAACATCACATGAATATATATGCAATATGTATTATTTATATACTACATTGACTGGTATTAATACAAAACTATATATATAAATATAATTATTTTTATTCAATATAATTTATGTAAAAAATAAATTATTTATTAAAAAAAATTTAGGCCACTTTTGGCGACTAAATCCATTATTTAGTCGCCAATTCTATTATTTTGGGCTACTAATTAATTTTTTGTCGCTAAAAAAATAAGTTCAAATTAAAAATAAGCAGTTTTGGCGACTAAATCTGTTTTTAGTCACCAAAAACGTTCCCTTTTGGCTACTAAACTGAATTTTAGTTGCCAATTGACTGTTTTTAGCTACTATTTTTTTTTTTGTAGCCAAAAAGCTTCATTTTCAGTGACCAATCTGTTTTTAGTCGGCAAAACACCTATAATCGGAGATGAAAATGTTTTTTAGTCGCCAAAACCATCACTTTTGGCTACTAAATTATTTTAGTCACCAAAAACCGTCACTTTTGGCTACTAAACAACCTTTAGTCGCTAAAACCCCTACATTCGGCGACTAAACTGCCTTTTAGTCGCTAAAACCCCTGTATTCGGCGACTAAACTCTTTTAGTCGGCAAAAGTGTTCAATTTTGGCGACTAATTCCATTTTAGTCACCAATTCTACTACTTTCAGCGACGAAAAATGAAGTTTTAGTCGCCAAAAACGCTTTTTCTTGTAGTGATAGCTTGTGCGCACACTACCTTGCTCATCCTTTCTTGGACGTGTGGATGTACTATCCTCTCCTTGCCTTACATGTGTATGCATCAATACTGCTAAACAACATTAGCTAAACATCCAAACGGTATGGACGCGAACTACTGGCGGGTTTTTCTCCCAGCATTCCAATTGGGCCACATAGCACACACCCATCGAGCTAACTCAAGACCGGACTGGCTCTGGCCAGACTGCCGTGCACAACTTTCCTTGCCTAGTTTGCCAGGCGTGCAGCTTGGTCAAGCCTTCTGTAACCCTTCTCGATAGGAACTCTTAGCTCAGTCAAGAGTCTTATCACCTTCTCAACCTTAGCTGGGCTTGGCCTTGGGGCGTCGATATAGCTCGACCTCGATCTTTACCTCGGCCAAGAATAATGCTCTCATTTCACCTACCTCGGCCCATGACTCAAGCCCATCACTTGGCCAAGTCTCGACATCTAAAGACTTAGTAGCGTGGTTGCTAGATCGAGAACAAGGCCCACACTAGGTTCTGCTCGGCCCATTTGTTCAGCACAAATTCCTCTCTCAGTCAACAAGGCTTCAAACATTAGGGATCATGTAGTTACCAATCTTGACAACCTCTAAGCTATTCCTCAAGTAGTACAGTTTAAAATCATCTTCATTTAGAGGGCTAGTTGATGGAGAATCAAAATTTTTCGTGAACTCATCAAAGCTCTGGTTTGGATCTATCTTATGAAAATATGTTACTTGATCAACTGGTAAAGCTGAGATGATGTCTTTCACTACTTTGCGATCCTCCATTAAGAGAAAATTGAAAAGGTTCTCCAAGCAGCAAACCGAGTCACACATATATAGCTTAATTGAAAAATAAAATTAATAGAAATGCTATGAAAAGTAGCATAGATTTAGTGATTTGTTTGGGGTAGCCATGTCGTACCCTTATCCTTATGCAACAATATTTCTTCGGACCCTATCATTTGCCACTAATATGACGTCTTATTCTCATGCTTCTGCATAGAAATCATAATTTATGCGAGATAAGACTATGTGCATCTAACACTTTTCAAATTCCACAATAGCAACACAACAATTCTACATTAAAAATAAAAAAAAAAATAAAAAAGTTTCAGCACTCATAAGAATCCTATAAAAAGATTTGCAAAAAATTCCACAATAGCAACACAATACATTAAAATAATTTACCAAAGGACATGTTATGCAAGTTTCAGAACTCTCACTATAAATAAAGAAAAAAAATGCAATGAGTGAGAAAATACAATGAAAAATGGATTATATATTTGTAGCATTTTCTATAAATAAATATTAATTAGTTAAAACCAATGGATCCTGTGTAGCTACATTGGAGTAGGCACAGTCCACGTGAGCAACATATGCACATCCCTTCATGCACTGATAAACAGGTTGACTTGGAATTCTTTCTTCCTCACAAGCATCGCAATTATACTCATCCAAAACTTCTTCATCAAGAAACTCCACAAGGAAAGGGGATCTACATGTGTGCTTTTGATGACGCTCGGAAACAAACATTGAACATGGAAGTTAATTCGACACTGCACCCAACAGATGACGGGTGTCGGAGAAACTCTTTCCACAATCGGTGCAACCACTGAGTGACTCATAGATTGCTGTTGTAGGAGAGTGAGAGGGTGGTTGTGATTTTGATGATTAATGGTGGGTTTTAAAAACATGCAATGAAGATCAACTTGGAAGTTACACTTGCTGCAGAAAAAGGCAAAGCCACGACTAGTACTTTCGCAAACATTGCAATCAAAGTAACCATTTTCAGTCTCTAGCAGGGGTGAGTTCTAGAAGGTGTGCTGGGTGAAGAGGGTGTTGGAGCTTTAATGGCAGCTTGGCACAAAATTTGTGTACGTAGAAATCACACGCGTTGCAACCATAGGTTTGCCCCAAGAAAGGCAGCTCGCAACCAGAGCAGGAGAATTGCCTTCTACGACTAGCCGAATAGTGTGCAGGCTGTGAAGAAAGTTACAAGATAGAAGTTCAAAACTAGTTTTTTTTGGGAAGACGTTAAAGTATGGCTTTTTGTTAGAAAATAAGTTACAAATTGAAGCCAAAAACAAGTTCAAAACCGACCAAACTTTTAGGAACATTCTAAATGTGAGATAGGATACAAAATTCTAAATGATTGATAGTCTCATAACTACTACTCGCGAAACAAACATGATCAAAGGATTTACCCCAAAGCTCCAACGTACCCAAAATTGCCCAGGCTATCAGAATGGCAGAGGCAACAAGCATGCTAGATTTAAAGTACTTAGCCAGGGAAAGTGAAGACCAAGCCAAAGGCAAAGGCTATAATTCTCCAGAGAAAAGAATATTTTCTTCTTTTGTTAACATTTGCTCTCCAAAAAATTTCTTATCCAACGAGTAAAGAAAAGTGCATGTAATGACATCTAAACAAAACAACAAATGGAAAAATAAATAAATAAAAATAGTAGTAGTAATGATTGTTGTTCATTTTAGCATGTGAATTAGGTATCGAAATAACATTTTTCCTGTATTTGTTGGCCAAGTTAAACTCAATTTAATCTAAGAAAAACAGCAATAAATAATTGGATATGAGATTAAAATACAGGAAAAAGCAGGTAGCAACGATATATAAAGGGTTCAGTAAGCCTCAAAGAGTGCCAGCAGGGAAAATGAGATACATGTACTTTTTACAGAGTGCCCTGAAGTAAAAAAAAAGTAGTAACATTGCACGGACGACCTGTGAATCAAATCCTCGAAGCAATCAAGGGGGTGGTGTTTTGAAGGAAAGCACAGGCTGCTCCAACTCCGCTGCCAAGCTTCACTGGGTATCCCACATCCTTAAGTACCATTTCCACTCCCGCAAGACACCCCAGCAATTGCAACTATATTAAGTGGATAAAAATATATACATAAACAAGTAAATCAATGAACTACGAAGTGGAGCGAGAGCAACCTCTTTTAAAGCAACAAATCCCAATCTAAGCATATGTTGTATATGAGCCGGTTTTCTACTTTGCAAAATCTATCTATACAGTGAAAAGGGCAGCTATTGCTTCCTAACTGAGCATAACGATAGATTCAGGATGGATTGATTTATGTGGATAACTTGAGAATGCTAGTTAAGCATATAGCACATAGTTTAGAAGCAAGTGATATGAAGCAACATTGGAGAGAAAGTGAGAACAATTTTGGTGGAAATTGAAAAACAACAATTTTGGTGAAAATTGAAGAACAATTTCAGACCTTGTTTGGGGTAACGTTAAAAAAGTATCTTTTGATTGTTTTGGCTAAATAAGTCAAAAAGTAAAAGCCTATTTGTTATCGGCTAAAAAAGCAAAGAACTCACTGAGCTTTTCCACTCATAAAAAAACAATATTTTTAACAACTTCCCAAATGTATCAGCTTCTTTAGATTCTAAGAAGAAAAAAAAAACCAAAAACGCTACTGAAAAGCAATCCCCAAACCCACCAGATTGAGAATTCATGATGTTTAAGGTGAAAAAAGACAGGTTGACATCATGGAAATATACAGACTACAAAGTTTCAGTATCATCTAATATCAATCTTAATTGTTTTTGCAGATGAAGTCATCAGCAACTTGGGATATAAGAAATGAAGCATACCTCATTTAGATTGCCAAGATGCCCTATTCTGAAAACCTTTCCGGCCACTTTATTTAGGCCGAGGCCTAAGCTTAAGTTGTATCTTTGCCATCCCCTTTTAACAATTTCTGAACTATCAATGTATGGAGGAACAACCACTGCAGTGACTGTGTCACTGTACCATTCCTCTTTTTGAGTGCAGTTCTTCAAGCCCCATGCCTCCACAGCAATCCTGCATTTCAAATTCAAAATACTTTGAATTTACCATTCAGAATCATAGCAACAACAACAAATCAAGGAATATGACTTCATGAAGGTTTATAAGCGTAAATACTGATATTTTCGATATGGGGATGACTTGAAACAAAGTTAAATAACTAATGGGGAAAATAGCGTGAATAAACTCAGAGGAAGTCATGAGTACAAAATACAACCTGTGTCATGACAGAAATGTCCATTGTAAATACTACAAAATTACAAGAAATTATTTAAGTATATAATAAAGCAAGAATTTGTTCTCATACTCATTAAAAAAGGGTAAATCTCCACAGGTTTGGAGAAAATACAAAAAATTCCAAAGTTTTGATGTAATTACACTAACCTCTTTTTCAGTAGTGCTAAAGGGACCGGAACCAATGTTGATGGTGTGGAAACAAAATGATAAACGAAGTAAATTATACATTTCAGTATAAAAGAGATGACAATATCATTTTTCCATCCATATGACTAACAAAAATTACTGATGAAAAGAAGCCAAATAAAGGAATCCAATGTAATTATGTCAAACTTGTGAAACTTACTACATTTTGTCAAAAGCTCAAGGGAGGTCAGTGCAATTTTCCCTAAAAAAATCACATGAAAAAATCAAAAAGGATTACTTGCCTTGTTGCCTTAGCGAGGCGGCCGTGCCTAGCAATCACATTGTCAAGTCCTTCCTCAAAAATGAGATCGAGTGCCGTTCTAAGTCCATATAACAATTGGATGGAAGGAGTGTATGGCCAAAATGTTCCCATCTTATAGAACTTCAAGTAGTCTTTCCAGTCGAAGAAAACTCTGAGAGATTTTGCAGTTTTGGAGGCCTCAAGAGCTTTGGGGCTTGCACAGACAATCCCCATTCCAGTGGGCAGAGAAAGAGCTTTCTGAGAGCCCGTTAAAGCCACATCTATTCCCCATTCATCCATTCGAAAATCAAGTGCACATATGGAGGAAACTCCATCAACAAGAAAGAGCGCCGGATGCTGATAGTGATCTGAGAATCATGTGATGAAAGTCAGTACAATCTGACTAATCCACAGAGGTAGAAAATTAACGCCACCTAGAAAGAATTTAACTAACAAAATGGAAATACAGTTTCCATGCCAGAGACAACATATGCATCGGTAAATCAAAGACAATTGTCATAAAAACTAGACATGTCAAAAAAAAAAAAAAAAGTAAACCCGAACAAGGATGTTCTTAAAGACAGATTTTTGGGTGTTGTGACTTATGATTTGCTTAAAATTCACTTTATTCGCTATGTTTAACCAATCTATATACATAAATTACAAAAATGATAAAAAAGCAGATAACAGCAGACATAGAAAACTGAAATTTATTAGTGTCTATTCTTTTCCTTTTTGTTTATGGAATGTATTAGTGCAATTTTGAAGCTCAAATGTAATATCAAGTACAGACTTTAATGCATGCCCATATACTACAACTTACAACAAAATGGTGTTGAAGCCTATATGATAAGACCAACAAAATTGGAGCAAAAACATCCGTCCATGATTATAAAAAAGTGCAACCAAATGAAAGTGATAATCATATCAAAACTTCAATATCATAGTCTTTCCATAAAGAATACATCAAGAAAATGGTAGATGAAGATGGATCATAGGAGGGCGCTCAAAAGAAGTGTATTGCTTTTACATCAATAGATAAATGTAGAAAAACCAATGTGAATTTCATAGTTTTACAGGACCAATTGGATGCTTTCACATCAGTAGATTAAAACTCAGTACTAATGATTAAGACTATGAGATATACTAATCAGCAATAAAAAACCATAAAATGCATTCTTACCAAGAATTTTTCTTACAGCAGCTAAGTTGTTGGTAACTCCAGTAGCTGTCTCATTGTGCACGATACAAATGGCCTTGATAGTATGCGCAGAATCTGCTGCCAGCTTTGATGCCAAAACTTCAAGATTGGCACCTTGACCCCAATCACTTTCAACGACATCCACATTGAAGTTCAGACGTTGCTGTTGATCAATCCACAGCAAACTGAATTGCCCAATTAGGAAAGACACAATCCTATCCCCCGGAGAAAGTGTGTTTGTGAGCGCACTTTCCCATGCACCAGTACCTGTACCAAAACAGCAACGTTATGTTGCAAATCAGAAGAAACAAACAACAATGAAGCTATTAAACGAAACCATGGCATCTGATGTCTTAATACATGCGTAGATAATAATATTCCTCCAAAAAGGAATCAGATTGTGATTTCCTATTGCATTAAAAGCCTTTGTTTCATCCTTTGAAAGAGTCATTGAAATTGATGTTTGGAGTTGCAGATATACCCTGATAATAAAGAATGGAAAAAATAAGATTTTATTACTGTAAATACTAACACACAAAGTATGTTAAACTATATATACTAATTAGTCAGAAATGGCTCTTTTATGCACAATTTTGTGCCATGTAGCAATGCAATTCAAAGCTGCCCTCTAATCAAAAACTGATGGCATGTCCAGAAATCAAAATGATGTTCAAATGCTAATACTAAATCCTACTATATAGTACTGGAATTAAGTATTTCCACATCAACTTGAAAAGATTAAATTCTGAAACTCCAAATCAAAGTGGTGTGGTATGGTACCTGTGGTTGGAATCAGAAATGGGGTTCCACTAGTAGTCTTGAAAATCTTCTTGACATCCTCAAGTAGGGTTCTTGTCATAGCTGGGATGGCAGGAGAGCGATAATCCTCATTGTTCCTGTTCATTGCACGAATAACCTGCTCCGGGATATTGACCGGCCCAGGAACAAACAGATGGTTCCTTCCAGGTCCATAGACATAGTCCATCTTTCACTTCTGTATTGAAAGTCAACAAATTGCTGGTGTTTTCAGTGCCACAACCTCAATTACCAAAACCCATTAAGGAAATCAATCTAATTAATAATATTCTTCTAAAACTAGTCAGTATGATTTACCCAACTATGAACAAATGGAATTCAAATTTTAGATTCATTCTTATAGCAATTCTACTAAAGCCACAGTTGACCCTCTTATGATTGATGTCCTGAAACAAAGGTTTTATCAATTGAAATACAGGTAATATTTTAAGGTATTTATCAGGAAAGCAAAAAATCTCCAAACTTCACTACATCAGCCATTATTTTTTGTCACAATGGCTGTAATTTCAGACTTTATTCATCCATTTATATATATATCGCCATTAAATCATATTTTATTTTATTTTAATTGTTAATATATATTTGAATAGTTTATTTTCCCGTTACTTCCCTTTGTTTTCCAGTTATTTTCCAATATCCCATATTTTTAAATATTGTTTTCTTTTACCCTTCTTGTTACCAATATATTGCGGTATATTGCCAAAATTTACAACTATGACTAAAAAATTATTACAGTGAAAAGTACACATAAATAAGCATGTCTATTGTATAAAATTTTTATAAATATTATTTTATGAGTATTAAAGGAGGGATTAATGGGAACTTTCATGCCACCAAGATTTGATACAGTACATGTGTCTGTGAATGAAATTCATTGCCTGAAAAAACATGCACACATGTCCAATTTTTGCACTGAAAATTGTACAACTAGGAGCAACTTCTTTGTCAATGAAAATCATAGGAAAACTTAATATTTAATAATTCTACTAACTAACTATATTTACTTATCACAAGATAATTGTTTATTAGAGAGGGTCCACTGTAAATAAGTGGAAATATATTTAAATAATTGCCATCTTTTATTTACAGTGATTTAACTAGATAAAAGTTAGGGAAACGGCAATAGATTTACAAAATCCTACGAACTTTATTTTTTATTTTTTTATTTTTTGTGACTTTCTTGGAGATGAATGCATTGGTAAAAAATAAAAATAAAAAAAAACTAGAAAAATTAATAGTGACATAACTAGAAAAATTATCCAGAAAAATATCCAAAAAAACTACAACATTCTTTATGGGTGTAACTCACATTACACCAACTTCAAATCTATATCAAAACCTTCGGACAATTTTGCAGGTACAAAAAAATGGGTATATGGTATTTTTCAACAAAACTAGGATATACTATAGTAATTAGGTACAAACTTGAACCCAAAAACACTAAATACCAAACTTCTCTATGGGGCAATTGTAACTTGAGATTCAATTCTATCTAATAACAACCAAAATTTGTAATTTACATACAAATCCCCAATTTAACATTAGGGTAAATTATACTGAACTCCTCTAAAATTTGGAGAAAATATAACAAGTGTTACGGTTTTGATACAATTACATTAAGTTCTCTTAAAGTTTTAAGCCACATAACGTTTAGCCTCATTTTCATCAATAATTTGTTAGTTATATAAATAAAAAAAATAATATTCAGTGTGTTTGGTTTGAATTTTCTGGATTAAGTTTTTTGAAAATTGACTTTTTTGATTTTCGTGTTTTTTTTATTTTTAGTGAATATTTTTTAAATTTTAAACATTTTTTTTTACTTTTTTAGATGCACCTTACTTAGATGTATCTAAAAAGTAAAAAATTTGTGAAAAAATATTTTAAAAAATTAATAAATACATAAAAATACAAAAAAAATGTACGGAATTCTTGTATTTTTTTTTTGTATTTTTGGTATTTAGTAAATTTTTAAAAGATTTTTTTTACAATTTTTTTACTTTTTAGGTGTATTTATGTTAAGTGTGTCTAAAAAGTAAAAAAATTGCTTAAAATATTTTTAAAAATTCAATAAAAACAAAAAACACACGGAAAATAAGAAAGTAAAATTTTTTGAAAAGTGTTTTTTAAAAAGTGGAAACAAGCATGGTGATTACTATTTTTTTTTACACTGAAAACATATCATTTCTTGTTTATCCTAGCGTTTTCATACCATCTGGATTAGTTTTGATTTATTTAGCAATACTAAAAGGGAGTTACTATAATTTTATCAAAACTGTAGGACTGTTTATATTTTCTTTAAATCTCAAGAAAGGCAATGTAATTTACCCTTAATATTATGGTTTGCTTACACCTAAGTATATTATTGGGTAAATTACACTAACATCCCCTGAGATTTGGAAAAAATACTATAAGTTCCACAATTTTGACATAATTACACCAATCTCTCTTTTAATAAAATTAAATCTATCGAAACTAATCCAGATAGCGCAAAAATATAAAAATAAACAACGTAAAATAAACATTTTCATGTAAACGAGATGACATCATTTTTTAATTTATATAACTAATAATTTTTTGATGAAAATGGGCTAAATGTTATACAATATAATTATGTCAAAATTATAAGATTTATTATATTTTCTCTAAACCCTATGTTATTTTGTAGAAATTTATCATTTTGGTATATTTTGATCAAGGAATTAAAATTACACAATAGATTAAAGAATTTTCATTCAGAAAATCAAGTGACTTAAAAATCTTTCACAAGAAAACAGAGGCTCAAGCAAAACAAGAACAAAATAAAACAATCATGAAGGAAAAAGAACTACCCAAGTTCTAATTACAATAAACAACAAACATTTCTATATAAAAAATAAAAAAATAAAAAAAGTTTCCAAACTCAATAAGACATGTATATACATATAATTAAAAAAAAAATGAAAAAAGCAATAAGTTGAGGTGATTGAGAAGAGTGAGTTGTTTACCTTTGTGGGAAGTGGGAGAAGTACACAAAGTAAGTAGGCAGTGAGTGGCTGAGTTTCCCACCTCTGTGGTAGAGTTGGAAAATGAGAGTTTGCAGATGAGATGACAATTTTAAAGGGCTAAAACCAATCTGCAATTTTATAAGAGCCTACGTTCCTTCTCGGTCCCACCTTGGGCTCCACGTGGCAGATAAGAAGTGTAACCAATTTCATTTCATCTGGTATTCCCGTGGCCAAGGAAAATAAAAATGTGTGACATCCCTAAACTTTGAAACTTTGCTCAAATACCCTTTACCTTCTTTTGTGTATTTCTACAAACTACCCACTCTTTTTAAGAATTTCATAGATTTGGTTTGGTGCTTTAAGTGGGAGATAGATTTTATAAGTATATTTTGCTTTAAGAAAATGAAGCTTAGGGTCGTTTATCATACACATTTCTCGCCAAAATGTAAATTTAAACTTTCAGAAAAGTCATAAATATACCAAATGAATTAATTTTTTTTGAGAATGATCCTCTTCAATCTAGATTTTGGACTAGAGGGCACTATTTGGTCCTATAAATCTCATCACAAGTTCCGTTTCAATGATCCAAACTATTCAATTTATCGGTTACTTCGTGTATTTTATCTACACAAAAAATTTGTTCAATCCGATAATTGTAATTTATTCAATTTTTCACTAAAAAAAAATAGACAACAATTGTGTTTTTAAAAATTAACAATACATTTTTTTAGTGACAAACAGAAAAAATTGAACGAATTACAATTATCGAATCGACCTAATTTTTTTGTGAACGAAATACGTAAAATTTTTGACAAAATAAATGATTCGAATTATCAAAACAGGGCCTGTGGTTGGCCATGCCCAAACAACGCTTTCCTGTCCATTGGGTTTCCAAATAAGGCATTAGCTAAAAATAAATCTAAAAACCCACGCGGTTAGGTGTCGATCCTTCCGGTTAGTACTGGTAAAATGACATTGATATTGCTTGTATAGCCTACTAGCAAATACGTACCTAGATATTCCCAATGTTTTGTATCCACTACCTTGTTTTTTGTACAAAATGATTATTTTCATGAACGTATATCATCTGGCATTGCATTATTTTGAAATGGAAAACGATGAATTTTTTACAAATGGCAGGTATATGCATTCACCTTATAATTTTGCTAAGACTCATATACTGATAGAATATCTCTACGAGGCTTTAGCTCACTCTATGTAGAAAACAATTTTTAGGTGTAGATGATATACCTTCACCAAAGACGTAGCTTGGGAGGACTTGGAGCTTAAGGTTTCATTTTTGGTTTCTTGATGTAATTATTTTTTTGTTTAAGCCCCAAATTTTACTTGTATTGAGTTTAAACTCATTTTGTTGTAACCAAGGAGCGTCTTAGAAAATTGTAGTCATTACGGCATTTCATTACTTGGTTTTACTTCCTTTTTTACTCTTGTATCCATACCATATGCTATAGATTCAGAATCCAGGATCTATGAATGTATATTTCATATGTCATCTTTTGTAATGATCAAACATATAATGAATAGGAGTTATGAGGTTGTTGATCAATTGTAGAACTGTTATGAGATGGGTAAATGCTAATTATTTTGGGGCATTACAGTTACACTCTGTTATATTTACAAATAACAATAAACCAACTGAAGTCTTAAAATTAAAAGTGGTTGTTGCACATCACAATATTAACTTTGTACGTAGCAAGCGTGGTGAGGAAGTAATATCTCTAACCGGGTGTGAAGTTGCACTAAGTATTAAAGAAATTAGTATTAAAGAAGAAATTCAAAAAGAGCAACAAGAAAGATGCAAAAATTTATATAGTGAAGATCCGTTGAAATTTTGGCATAAAGATAAAAGTATAGCTAAATTAGACCTAATCGACCCTAATAAAATAATTAGAGCAAAACAAATGGTATATACTTATAATGATATAGAGGAATTCAAAAAAAGAGATAGAAGATCTCAAACGAAAAGGATTAATTAGAGATAGTAAAAGTCTATATAGTAGTCCAACATTTATGGTTAGAAATCATGCTGAGATTAAAAGAGGAAAGGGTAGAATGGTAATAAATTACAAAAAATAAATAAATGATAATACTAAAAAGATGGTTATTTTATTCCAAATAAGCAAGTCTTTTTTAACATAATACAGGGTAACTCCTAGTTCTCCAAAATGGGCTGTAAAAGTGGATACTAGCAAATAAAAATGCATAAAGACAATATCCTACTAAAAGCTTTTAGTGCACGGCAAAGACATTATAAATGGCTTGTAATGCTATCTGAGTTGAAAAATGCACCTCAAATATTTAACGAATAATGGATAACATCTTTAAATAATTGAATAATATTTGTCTTGTATATATATATATATAATATTTTACTTTTTTCTAGATCCATAGAACAACATAGAATAGATATTAAAATAATAACAGAAAAATGTGAAGAATATGGAATAGTGTTAGGTGAAAAGAAATGCGTATATGCACAAAAGGAAATAGAATTTTTAGGACTTGAAATCAAGGTAAGATCAGTAAAAATGCAAAGTCATGTTCTTGAAAAAATTAATAAATTTCCTGATAAAATCACGGATAAAAATCAATTAGAAAGATTTTTAGGATGTTTAACATATGCCTCAGATTTTATAAAAGACCTAACCAAAGTAAAAAAATGTGTGAGTGAATTTTCGACCACACTGCCAACTCAGTATTCAACTGGAGAGCACTGGCAGAATAGATAGCGCCTGAATAACCTGCAACAGAAAGAGAAGATTCCGGCGGTGGTTCGTCCACCATGGGGCACTCCGACGATCAAGTCAATTATCTCAAAAATAATCAATAATGCTTAACTCACTATTCAGAATATAAATTGCGTACCTTAGACCCATGGGGGTGCCTCTCTTTTATAGCCAACACTTACCTAATCCCCATAGAAGCCTAGCTTCAATGGACTTCTGCTCAATGCTTATCCTGGACTCTCCAAGAGATAAAGATAAACTCCCTAAGAGTGTTATCTTTATACATGCTGAAGTCCTTCCTCATTCTAGGACTCTTGTGCCTTATCCGCTTATCCCGGATTTCGATATCCTCGGAGGTAACCTCAGCCTAGCCGAGATAACCTCGGTGTCACGGACAGGACACGTGGCACCCCAGCTGACACGTCGGCGTCACCTTGGCCACGTGTTGGTACTCAGAAAATATATCCCCATAACTGCCCCTTAGGTTCTATTACCTCGGCATTCTGAGGTGATGGAACCTATATCAGTATTTGATTCCAGTACGTCGGCTTAAAATCTTATAGCCGAGATCATTGTAAAGGCTGACATATCGTGTAAAAAATGCAATGTATAAAAAGAAATAGAGAAATGTATTATTGATTGATTGTATTGATATATATTTTCTGTCTATTACAAATGGTTCCTTATATAGATGTAGGTGTAGTGGATGGTATAGTGGTGTAGTGGGTTAGGTTTAGTGGAGTAGGTAAGGTGGTAGTGGTGTAGGTGGTAGTGGTGGTAGGTGATAGTAAATTCTAACATATCGTTTTCAAAGAACAAGAATTCCAAGAGCTCCCTCACGCGTATGAGCTGTCAAACATAATAACTCAACCGTTTTAGCCACCCGTTTTTCCCTTACTGGATCGTACTCAGTACGCGCTTGTAAGTCGTCTTGCGCCTGCATGCGCCGTCTGACAATTCTGTCATTCTAGGCTCATCAATTCCATTCTGCCGCCTTTTTGTGTTTTTGACAAAACTTCCTTCCTTGTCCCGTCTTTTCACTCTTCTCCTTCGTTTCTGAGGCTTTCTTTCTCTCTCTAGCTTTTTTTTCCAAATCCTTCATTGCTACTTTCACAAAGCTTTCTGCGACCAACTTGTCTTTCTCCTCCAGCGAGGTATCTGCCGTATTTCCGTGCTTCCGACTATCGCTTAATCCCGTCGAAAATTTTCTTCGGCTTCTTTTTTCTGGTAAGTCATTGTTCCTCCTTATTTCAGTTCTTCATTTTTCCTCACTCTCTGCCATTTTTGCGAGCTTGCTTATGTTTTTGACTAGTTTAATCTGTTCATGTATTTGAGCATGGTTGCCTTGCGATTCTGTTTTTGCCCAAACCTTTCCTGAGTATTCACACACTGCTGACACATTTGTTTTACTTTTGCCATTGTTCTTGGCCTTGTACCCTTGCACACACTCTGTCACAGTGTTCTTGATAGTTCATCACTTTTCTTGATTCTGAAACCCGTTCTTGTTTTCTGTTTTCTGTGTCTTTTCTAGATTTTGTGCCTTCAATCTTTGTTTCCATAGATCTAGGTTTGGGATTTGTTTGTTGAACCCACAAATCTTAGGAAAAACTAATATGATTCCCCACAGATTCTATGTATTTTTAGGTTTTAACCGAGGTCCCTAAAACCCTCCAAAACACTTCCTTCTGAAATCCAGCTCCTCCAATTAAGCCGATATCATGGGAATGTGGAAACATAGGGTAGACACTCCAACAAAATTAGAATACTTTAGGCGAGAGTTTTCCATCCCTGCCGACGTCCATCTGAGGTTGGCTGGGGAGGATGACTCCATTATGCCTATAACTGATTCTATGTCTTTCCCTGTTGTGGCCTTTATTGAGTGTGGTCTTAGACTCCCACTCCTCCATTATGCCTACAACTGATTCTATGCCTTTCCCTGTTGTGGCCTTTATTGAGTGTGGTCTTAGGCTCCCACTCAACATCCTTTTTCGGGAAGTCCTCCATTACTATAAGTTGAACCCAATGCAGCTCACCATCAATTCCTACTTAGTCATTAATGGCATAATAGCCTTAGCCCGACAAGAGAATGCTAAGGTTACCTTAGCCGACAACCAATATTGTTATACTATGTGCGACCTTTCACTGAAAGAGAAAGGTTATATCTATTACCTGAAGCTAAGGTCCACAGAGTATAAAATCGTGGCCAACCTCCCAGACTCCAACAAGGGAGCTGGGGATGATTACTTCATTACCTCGGGGAACTAGAAGATCACTCCAGACGAGGACCTCCACCTCTAACCTCTTCCTCGAACAGTTTTTGTAGAGGGTAATGGTAAGAGTCCAGTGTTTATACTTACTTGTTTTTTAAAGTCTCCAATACTTTGATCTAATGTCTGCGCTATTCTTTTTTG